CGGTTGGACTGGATGATCTTAGAGGTCTTTTCCAACCTTAATGATAATGATTCTAAATCACCATTACCAGACATTCCTTGAATATCCCTGAGGAAATTGTTTTAACCCTCAGTGGAGGTTAAAATGACTGCACGTGTCCTGACTCAATCAGAAGTAAAGTTGTGCTCTGATTTATCTAGTCTTGATGGTAAAATAGTTTATCTGATTACAGACTGCAAAGGGAAACGGGTTAGCCTAGATTTGAATATTGTAGGCAGGCAGGGCCAAAATAAATGAGAAGTCATCTGTATGCAATGGAGAATCAGACAAGTCTTGCACCCTGTGACATGCCTTGAAATAAGCGGAGAAATTCACCCCAGGAGCTGTATCAGTATTTTTCTTTAGGAGCCATTTCAGTTGTGCTGCTGTTCATAACAAGAGAGGGCTCGTGTGTAGGCTGAGCAAGTGCTGCTGTGCCAAGCATAACACTCATTTCCTTCCTTTGATTGTCTTAATCCTTGTGGTTTGTTAACTTAATTGAAGCATTTATGCAGTAAATTATCTGAGCTTGTTAAGCATCACCATGGGATCCCTCAGGCAACAGCTACATGGATGCCCTTGTGTTTGCTCAGATTTAAGGATCACAAAGTACCTCATGCGCAATCATTGCCAGAACTGCCTGAGAAACAGATTCTCCCACCACAACTTTGCATCTGGTTTAAAATTTTTTTTTCATTGATATCTTTTACAAAGATCTCTAAGATAATATGTCTGCAAGCATTTTGATGAAACAGGAATTTCAATCAGAAAATCTTAGGAGAAATATTCAAATAGCTCTGTTCATATTGTGGGTTTATGCACATAATGTGCTGCACCATAACATTAACAGAATATTGCTTGAATTATATCACCCAGCGGTAATGGCATTAATTTACAAGAAGCCTATCAAGCAAAGTAATGGTGTTCTGCTGGTTGGATCATAATCCACAGACTTAAGTAATAATATATATTTTGATTGTTAGTAAAGCAGGATTGCTTTTATTTGGGTATAAATTCTCTCTCCTAGTGCAGAATTGGTATTCTCAGCTGCTTGAAGACATGTGCAGAGATGTGTGTGTACACACTGGGGTCCCAAAGTACTGAAGGAATTACTTAGCTCTTGTGACTCCAGTTTTAGTCTGATTAGGACTGATGCAGGAACGTCTGACTTTGCTCTAGTGCACCTCTGACTTTGCTCTAGTACACCGCAGATGAGATTGTGACAGCAATGCCCCAGCAATTTTCACTCTCATTGCTCAATGTTTCATTCCTCAGCCTATTGAGTAAGAACTGTGTGGGGGTGTAACTCTCCTTTGTAAATTGAGGCATCGTCTCCACTGAAGTCATGTGTACGGCAGTTTATATAGACATTCCTGGCTCAGCCTCAAAATCGCTGACTGATCCTCTTAGTACTCTGTGAGTGCAACTGCATGAAGCTGAATGTAGCTACAACTTATCCTCTGCAACCACATTATCCAAAATGTTCTCAAATTGAAATGGGTACTCAGGAATGATTCCTTCATTCAGCCACTAAAATGTGTAGAAATACTTCCCTAC